TAACACAAGATGGAAAACTCGTTACAAGCGGATACATGGCCGAGTATAATCAAGACAGGTTCATCGTTGAAGTCGTAGCGAAAGAAACAGCTATACCCGAAAGATACGCCATGACCAGAGTTCATGTAAGTTATCCAACGTAAAACTGTAAATACTTTCATACGTAGGTATCCTTGATGTTTTAATCACTTGATTTTCATACTGATGAAGGTTTGGGTGTTCGAGGCTTCACAATTAATACGAGTTATTTTGTCACGACCTCCTGAGGAAGTGAATCGTCAGCGTGATGAGATCGTGACAGAGTTATCGAACGCGACTCAAAACAGAGTCGTCGTTGATGATATCCGATATCATGTGGACGCATCTGGCCACATTCGCAGAGAATGGTAAAAAAAACACTTTAATAATTTGTCTGTATTATGTGTGACTCTAAAATTTCAATTTACGCAGGTGTGATATGTATTTACACGTAGTAGAGCCTAAGACTCAAACTATCGCTCCCATCCCACAAGTACTTAAAGTCATTGACGCGAAATATGACTTTTTGAAAGATTATTATGCTGGCTTCGCCATTGAGAACGTAGTGGTACGTATTACCTATATTTAAAAAACTATTCACAGTTAATTCTTACGTGTACAATTTTTAGCCTGCCTATGCTGGTGTCCAGGAAGAACCTTTCGATCCTGCATTGGCGGCTTTGATAGCCTTATTAGTAGTTTTACTAGTTGGTGCGGTTACTGTAACGGTAGTTTGCTGCTGTTTACGACATTGGTAATTATTGAATATAGATATATCCCCTTGCTCTATTTCAAAGACATGAAACGTTTCACATGAATTTCAGGGTAATTACTGTGCCAAACGATATACGAAAGAAGGACGGCCTAATAAAAAAACAAATAATCGACGAATTAAATACTACAGAAAATCCTCTATGGATTGAGCAGTGAGTAAAGAGAGCGTCATCTTTTAGAAACGTGAATTATTATATCCATGTAATAATTATTCCAGGAAACTAAAATTATATGAGGAGCAGGAATTAACGATGCAAGTATTTAGCGAGCCAGAAGGAGGCCTGGGTACGGAAAGGCGAGGAAGCGGAGTCAGCGTTGGAATGGGTGACACATCGCAAGATAATACCTACGCTACCATCCAGCGTCCAATGCCTACGAACAGGCACCGTCCAACGACGCCAGATTACACAACACTTCCAGGAAACCACAATGTATACAACAAATTTCGTTAACTCGTGATTCACGAGATACAATTGTATCTCATGTTATATGTTTCATTGTAGCTTTACGAATCAGCCATGGGTTTCCAAGGGTCAACATTCCAACCATCCTCGAATTTAATTCCTCAACTCACGATCGACCTCGATGGCCAGCCCCAGTTTGTATCAGCGCTAGTATAAATTCAGTTCTTCGCCAGTCCCTTTTCCCAATCGACATAATAGATTACCGTACGTTGTACCTCTCTAACTACGACTCCGACTGTTGCACGCGCCTTCCCGAGAGATTATACTCGCATGCACACACCTTTTCGACAATAAATCGAATAATATCGTTAGGTTTGTCTGCGAGTAGACGCGTGTACGAGGGGAGCACGAAAATTGTCCCGAATTACGCAGAAAAAGAAAAACACTGACTGGGTCTGCAGCTTTTGCTACTTCAGTTCGAACTTTTCAAAACGTCAAAGAGATAGATTGAAAAGTTAAACGGCGAACGACAGTCAATATTATTGGAATAAAATACGTGTTATTTCCCTGTAGCTGGTGTGTGCATGTATATATGTGTGCGTTGCCAACCTGTGGTCTCCTTCTAACTGACTGTTAGGCATTGTTAGAAAAATCAAAATTGCTAGTATAATAGACACTGTGAAATAGCTTAACGACCGGAGCTTGGCACGACAGATATATGTATATAAATGAATGTGTAGACTCCGTCCAGCGCAGTTTTCTTATTACTTCCTCACTAGTTTAGTATTTATATATAACTTCCGTACGTTTTACACGTGAAAGAAAATATGAGAACGTACTTATAATGTCATTACGAACGAAAGAATCACTGCCATGTCGTGGCATTAATATTAAAGAAAATAATGTTCTACGTAAGAACAGAACAAGCTCACGATGTTAAGAGTATTTATAAGAAAAAAAATCAATCGGTATATCAGCTGCGTCGTAGGCTCATGTGCGATTATTATTTTATATATATATATATATATGTTATGTATTTATTTATGTTAGAGTTTAATGACTGATTTTTATCGGATTAATCTGTGATTTGATTACGCCCGCGTATGCACTCGCGACAGTTGATTCGCAATTAAACTTCTGTAAGACTCATTAGCGATGGGCGGATATAGTCATATCATAGCTAGTTAAAGCCGAGACGTTCGCATCAAATTTCGATGTTAGGTAAGAACATAATCATTCCGCGCGTCCTGCGAGCATCTCTTCGCGTCATTTCAAATAAAAACCGTCCTCAACGAACGAATCATGCACATTGGGGGTCTGTGAAATTTATTGCGAACGGCTCTCACCGTACAGTATATATTATATAATCAAGATACAATAACTTAATTATGATCATGTTATGTCTATAAACATTTAATGTTAAACTAATATCAGTATCACGATATTACTAGATGGTTATGAATATTCCAGTTAGTAAAGATATCTGTTTATTGATTATAAATTTATTGTAACATATTTTATGTAAGCCATTGGTAAGGAAAATATTCGTATGTCGACATTCATCACGTTTCACATCGTGTGAAAATAAATATTCAAATCTGTGTACATTCAACTTTTTTGTCAGTGTCCATACGTTCCGTTCTGTTCGAATTACCTTTTCTTTCTTTAACATTAGGTTTTTTCTCACTTGATACTAACGCGTAATTTAAATTCTGAACCACTGATTCGGGCCGTTCTGTCCATAATTTGTGCCCCTTTTTCGTAGGATACTTTTTAACACTTAAGCAAGTCAAGCACGTATATTTAACAGCTTTCACTGGTTTCGATACCAATCGTACTCTTGCTGTCTCTCCTGGTATAAGTGGAGACTGACAACATTTACAAATTGTCCTTTTAATATCAGATTCTCTAAGAAAAT